TATATTACTTATGTTATTTATTATTATTATTATTATTATATTATTATTTATATTATTATTATATTATTATTATTAATTATTGTTATTAATTATTATTGCTTTTTTGCCTAAATACTTGAATCTTGGTACTATGCTGCTATTATCTTTCCCTTCAGATGCACTAATCTTCCACTCCTCTTAGTTCCTTCCTTGGCAATACCATTTGTTTTTGTTTTTTGTCGAGATTTTCATGTCATAGGTCTTTTGCAATTTTACTTTCACTTCATGTGTTGCCTATTTGGAGTCTGCTTCTGCCATTCAGCCAAGAAATTATATTGAGTCCATCAATCAAAAAACAGGACTGTTTGGTATAGTTGTTTTTGTTAAGTTTGCTATAACCTGTGATTTACTGTTCTTCTACCGCCGGTCCATTCTTTGATGAAACTGTTGCCATAAATATTTGTAAAGGTTGCGTGATACGCCCACATTCCTGTAGCAGTCCTCTAATGTGAAGGTTGATTTTGAGCATGGTTCCATTATTCATTTTTATGGTGATTTTTGAGTCTATGTAGTGTTTATATTCCATTGATGTCTTCTTCTAGTATTCCTTCAATATTTTCCAGTTTAACCCTGTATTCACCATATCATATTGCCTTGTTCAAAATCTATGAATAGCATTTATGTGGCAAGCTTTCTTTTCATTCTCTTTTGTCTAATTATAGTTTTACTGTGAATATTGCATCCTTTGTGCTTCTACTGTTTCTGAATCCATTATTATTCTTTTGCAGTCTGTATCCAATTTTCTTTTTTACACTGCCTACCTAATTATCTTTCCATAATCAGTGGATGTAATCTGTCTTAATAGCCCACCCTACGTTTTGCAATCCTGTTTTCTAATATCTTGCGGTCACTGCCTCCTTTTGCGTTTATTTCTGTACCGATGAAAGTGAATTTCTTGACAGATTTACTTCTGAACCACCATTCCCAGTTTTCAGACATTTAAACACTTCCTCCTACAATCATATACTCGCGGTCTTGTTTTAGGTTCTACTGTCTTAACCCATTCGAGTCTCTTCACTATAATTTCCGCTGCATGTATCAGAGCATCGTCTTCATCTTTCAGCGAACACCTCATGATAATTGCAGTTTAGAGAAAATAACATAAGTCACCAATTTCTTAATACCCGTATTACTACATTTCTTCCTCTTCTTCTCAGAGTTTCATTTGAGAATAATATATATTTTATAACACACAGAAGAACCTCCGCCTCCAGCGTCTTTTCATCCACCATCGTCCTTTTGTCAAAGATCCTAACACGTGTGTGAGGGTGTTTCTCCGGACACCATGGTAATAAGATCTCTCTCTTGGCCTTATTATTATTATTATTATTATTATTATTATTATTATTATTATTATTATTATTATTAAATCACATATACAATTACCATCGTATATAAGTCAATATGATGTCTTGGGTGGAGAGAGCGAAGTTACATTACTGTCCAGAGGTGAAATAAGGGTCATCTCAGCATTTGCTCAAGGGAACAAGGAAACTGAACAAAAAACCTGATCAAGATGAGTCATTGACCTAGGAATTAGACTACAATACTTGACATTGGACTAAACTCCCATGACCTCCAACACAAAATTTTGAAATATAATAGAATAAATGGAATAAGTAATAGACACTTTGGGAAGGACATGACAAAAGAAACCTCATTAAGAATACACAACATGACAGCCAAGCCATTGCTTTTATATGGATTAGAAACCTGGATCCTAAAACAAAGAGACAACCAAAGACCGGAAGCAACTCAAATGAGGTTCCTTACACACCTCCTTCACAATATTAGACTGGATCGACAGAGAGCTAAAGACAAGGAAAAGATTGAAGACAACAAACATATATAACAGCAATAGAAATGGGCTTTTGGTGCTGAAGTTCTAGACTGACTTTAATTGATACAGTTAAGAATGAAGAAATGGAACACAAAGCAGAAGTGATTTTTAATGTCATCGACACCACAAGAGTGAAAAGACTAAAATGGTATGGGCCCATGCAATGAATTGAATGAAGAACGTTGGCTGAAAATATTGTGGAAATGGCAACCACCTACGCATCAAAGAAGAGAAAGGCCTGCACTTACATGGATGAGGCAATGATGAAAAAAGGATTGAGTAATGAAGACTACACCGATACAGAGATGTGCAGGCTGGGATGCTACTACTAGTCAAAGATAAATACAGTAAGATGTTCAGAACATATTAAAAATGTTAGAATTGTCTTTACAGTGAGATCATTAAGTTAGTCAATTACAAAGGGAACTTTATTTTTGAATATAAAATATTGTTCTTTTAGAAGGTATAGCAAACAAGCATATTTCAATAAATACGAAATGTCACTTGGCATACTGCTTATGATTTAAATGTGTAACATTCTTAATTGCTATTTGTTAATGCATGCACACAATAACATTTGGTAATGCAACAATACAATGTATTATAGTATAAAAAGTACATGTAGAAGAGTTGTAAAAGAACTTACCTACATTTATACAGTGAGTTATGAGCTATGTTATATTATGTAGGAACAATACATTAAATGGTATTAACTCCATATAATGTAATTTCGTATAATGTATTTTAAAATGACGCTTAATACGAGGTTATTTCCACATAAAATCACAAACGCTGACTAGCAGCTCATACAAAACTAAAATGTAAGTTTTTCCTGCTTTGGTTGCTCTTCATTATCGCTTTGTCCTTAGAGCTCCCAGGAAATGAGAATAGTTTAGCATCAACTCCGATTACTAGTACTGGACCTAGCATTTAGTAAATGCCATTTATGCCTGATTTACGCCTTCAGTTGCCAAGGCTGCCTTCAATGCATTCCTATGAACGCACGGAACGCACTCCCCACCCACACACGAGGAAATCACGTGCAGCGAACACACGCATAACCCATTAATTTATTAGTTCAATGCTTTACACAACCTACGACAAAACACCTTCGTAGTCGTACATAAAGTGACAAATTTCGTAATACCGGTTTATGATCCCAAGCAAAGCATGCTATACCCTAAGGGGAATACCCGTTCTCACATATTTTTTTCTCACTTCTGCCAACATCGATAGACATTCTCCGTAGATATCCCTAGTGAAATGTGTACTTTTCCGAATTGAAAATATCTCGCTCTCGTCACACTGTTACACCTACCGTGTCTCCTACCTCTTATTTTCCCCTAGTTTCAAGAATAAAGCCAAACAATGGAATTAACTTATCGAAGTTTTTATCATCACTACTGATATGATAGTTTCAGATTACTTCCCGACAATTTCCAAAACAAATTGAAGGGATATACGTAACAGTATTTTTATCTTCCTCATTGACAAGATATTAACCTTATTTAGATTTATCCAGTAAAAAAAGTTTTAAAAAAAGCAGTAAAAACTGTATGTGACGTAAGGGAAAAGATTATCTGCACACGATTTCTTGAGTTTCCCTTCCCGTCATTTTAAATATAAATAGTTGAAAGATGAGTAAAAGTTTAACATAAATAAATAAAAATAAACTTTAGAAACCGCAAGATAAGCAATATTTGAAAAATAGTCAATTTCGTTTCTGAGTTATAAAAAACTTATTTGCATCTTTATTGCTTTCGATTAATACGCTAAATCTCATTATCCCACTTATGTTGGCTCTATTTATTCTCCATGTAATTGTTTCTCCAAGGATCGATTGAAAAGGCAGTCGTAAATACGTCAGTGGGGGCTCGGGCAGGGGGACAGTCAAGTCCCCCTGTATCTCTCCCAGCCAGTTCACAATCCGAATGTCACCGAACGGCGCCGGAACTCCACTACTACCACCATAAAGGCTTCTTTGTCAAGAGAGACCATGAAAGAAAGACTTAGGGCCCCTTCCCACGGCGCGACGGCGGTGCGCTTCCGAGCAGCGCGGCGCGTAGCAGAGCATTGGTTTGAACGGAGGCCTTCCCACGTGCAGCGGGTGGCGGCTTCTGCGGCAGCCGACGCCGAACTCCAGCCATACGAAGCGGAGGAGGGCATACGCGCTACGGCTAGCAGTACACAGCTTTAAACGGGAGCCTTCCGACTGTGCCGCCGGTCGCTGCGGTTTACCTGCTCCGGTCCCTTTGTTCGTCGCCGCCGGCGGGTCGGCGAAACCAACCCCTCCAGATCCCATCCCCTTCCACGGCGGGCGGCGGAGCGGCCGTGGCTGCGTCGGAAGGGCTCTGCTGCTTGAAGGAAGCGCGGCGCCTTGGTGACGTGGGAAGGCGCCCTTACGGCGCCTTCCAACGTCCCGACGGCGGCGCGCTTCCGTCAAGTAGAGCCCTTCCGACGCCGCCACCGCTGCAGCCACGGCCGCACCGCCGCCCGCCGTGGAAGGGGGTGGGGTCTGCAGGGGTAGGTTTCGCCGACCCTCTGGCGACATCGAACAAAGGGACCGCAGCAGGTAAAACGCGGTGCTCGGAAGCGCGCCGCCGTCGCGACGTGGGAAGAGCCCCTTAGGGGAATCCCGAACTTACTTCGCGGAACGAAAACTCTTGCCAACTAAATACCATAGTTATGTGTTTTATAAAACATTACTTGTGCTGCCAAATTTAATTAGATTGTCTCAGTTCTAAGATATCCTGAAAATTATGATAACAGTTTTGCATCTGAGAATGCTGTAAATTTGCTCACATAGTAAAAACCAGACATGAACATTTTGGAAGGAGCACAGAGCCCCGTGTAATAAAAATATTGCATGCAGTGCTTACTCCTTTAGAATATGGAATATGATCCAGAGGTCAAATTAAAATCCATTGTATTTATGCACATTATTGTTATTTTATTGAACTTCTAATTATTACTTCCAAGTCTCTCAGTGTTCAACGAAGTTTAAATTAGAATTGGACTTATAGTCTAATACAACACCTGTCGTTTCTTTTCTCGAACGGCCATGCCACATCTGAAAGAGTTCCTCTCTTCCTTCCTTTTTCACCCTTTCTTTCTGCTTCTTCCTTTCTGGAGTTTTCAAATACATATGTTCTTTTCAGAAGGATGTTAGGGGATGCGTAAGTAGCATTGTGTAAGTGCGTAAAAAGCAGTTTTTGTTCATTTTCTGGATTTTCCATTGCTTCTCATCCTGAACCTCTTCTATTTCAAGCGATTTACTTTCCTTGCTCTGATTTCCTTCACTTGGGTTATTATCACTGACCTTTTTTACTGCTTCCTTCTGTTTGTTTTTCTTGTCTCTTCTATTAGTTCCTTCTGGTGGGTTATGCACTGCTCTCTTTTTCCCTGTGAATCCAGTCTATTTTTCCCTCCCTTAGCCTTGTCTTCTCTTTTTGAAAAGGAGTTCAGTATCTCTGAGAATTCTCTCTTCTCGCCTGATGCATTGCGCCATCCTCAGGGCATCGATGTTTCCCCGTGCTTTAGCCAAAGCATCCTTCAGGGTCACTGGGTTGTTCTTCAACACATACTGTTTTAACGTCTGAAGATTTGGGCTCAGACCCTCAATAATATTCCTGTGGTGTTCTTCTAGCTGTTGAATGGGTGAGGACGCCCGGTGGTCTGTTTGCTCACCACCAACCACTGGTACTGGGTCTCCGATCCCCCACACCATAATGTTTGATCCTTAAAGACCTATCCTGTTTTGTTTTTTTTCTTCAAGGTCGCCTTCCCCTAGTGTTTTTGAGTTACTACCAGCTAAAAGGGAAAAGAAGACTAGAAGGGAGGTACTATTCTACTAATATATATATATATATATATATAT